CAAAGGACAAACATGGTTGTGACAGGGTGCAAAATACTCTGGCCCAGCGCTCAAGAGGCTTTTGTTCTTCGTCTGTGTGCTTACCCCAGGGAGTCTGGAGAGGAGCAGAGGTTCCCATGTTAGCTGGCACAGCACGCGTGAGCTGCTGATACACTCTGAATGTACGCCAGCTTGGGTAGCAATTTAATAAAGCAGCTGAAGCTAATGCCATTTTTTGGCACCACATAAAAGAGTTTGTTGTAGGGTCACATATATGCATATAAAGGGTCATGTACCAGCAAATTTTCAGGAAATAGTAGACATGCACATTATTAGACTGAATTGCTGTCTGGCTCCAATATCTAAAATATGTAGCCAACTCTTAACCCTACGTCTCAGCATTCTGATGCACTTAAATCAGAAAAATGTGTAGGGTTTCTGTGTCTTAAGTGAAGTTTCTAGGGTAGGGGAAGAATATCAAGAAAGTAGCACCAGATTCTATACAAAAATATTCAAAGAGTAATACTGCTGGAATTAGTGCCACTATTGACACAATATTTGATTAATAAACACTTTTAAAAATCTGAGATGGCCTCTAAAATCTTGATTTTAAAGAAATTATCTGCGGCTCATTTCTTTTTTTTTTTTAGGATTTTTGAACCAATAATTTTGTATTTCCAGTACTTTCTTTGCAACTACAAGGACTCCTTTTAACATGCACATTTAATGGAAGATAACATTATTACATAATCATGGGACTCTGGAGCTTTATAAGAAAAACACTATATCTTATTAAACTTGTGATAAAATTATTGGTGTTGGCAACCTTGCAGACATATGCCTAGAGCTGCACAGTGTTTTCCTCCTCTAACTACTGTAACTAAAAGGACTTTAATGAGAGCAAAAGAATGTGGCTCTGTCTGCCCAGAATCTTTTGGAATTTTCACTTTTCCCTAATGAAAATGAAAACAAATACTTTTCTCTTTTTTTCCTGTAAGCTTTTACGGACATCTGAACTGACTTTCATAATGAAGAAGGATTAAGCAAACTCAGGAAAATTATAAATGTGGTTTGTATTAGTGTACTAATTAGCTCATAAATTTAGAAATAGTTAATCTTTTAGTTTTGCTGAATGAAAATAGTAGTCAAATAGCAAATCAGATCTTGTAAATGGAGTAATGCAGCAGTGAATTAAACCCCCCAGAGCATAGGTGTCTGATCTCATAGCATTATGAAAACTGGAAATCTTGCTACTGACTTTGAAGAGCACAAGGTGAATTCAGCCAAAGCTGTAAAGTATTACTCAAGCAGCCAGATACTTAGAAAATAATAATAAAAAAATGTGATTTATTAGGTGTGTACTTCTCATTGTATTGTAATCCAACAAGTAACTATATTAATTATTTTTAGTTCGGTGAGCGATCAGAGCAGTGGTAGCTGGCAAAATTCTGTGGTTTACTGCAGCTTCTATTTATTGCATGTATTTATGTACGTGGATATTCAAAAGACCCTGCCCTATAAATATTCATGTTATTACAGAAACAATTATGGATACCAAGTAATAAAAATATACTTGTCCATTACACAATTTACACTTCTTTAGAACTGCCAACGTAGAAAAAGAGTAGAGGCGTTGTTTTACACTGCCCCATTGATAATCTGATGAAATAAAGAAAAGTAGATTCTATCCCAAAACAAGTTTAAGTCTCAATTCTTCAGACTGGGTCCTAGCCAGGTGATGGAGATGCAAGAGCCAAGCACCTGGGCATGGTAGCAGACAAGTAGCTGGCAGACATTACAGGCTGCTGGATAGGAGAGCTCAGAGTCTTCTCTCCCCTTTAATGACTGCACCAGGACAAGGTTAGAAGAGAACTGGGCTCAGTAACACTCAACGTAGAGAATGAATGGACTCCCATTCTCACACCCCATAAACATCCTCATGCACACCTTGTTAAACACCACCCCAGAGACTGCATTTCAAGCAGGTTTCCATAAACTCCATGTGACCTGGATACAATGCTAGATAAAACCATTGGATAAAATGCAGCACTAGAAGTATGTGAACCTGGGATTAGAAGATCAGGGTGACTTAATGCAGAACCAGTCTTCACATCTGGACTGCTGTAAACATAGCTCAGTCCAAGGCCCCCATGGAAAAAAACCAACACACCACCAGTAATTCAGTAAAATGCATAAGAACTGCTCATTGCTAGAGCTCTACAGTGATATGCAGTAGGAATTAATCTAAAAACATGATGCAAACAACTGCTGAATCAATTTTCTCGTTTGGCTTGTAGTGCACCTGCTCTTACAGAATCAACATTTTATACTCTTTTTTTCTTGCAGAGATGTAATATTCCTGCATTAAGCCAACTGCTCAGGTAAGGAGAGAGCCAGGGACAAGGCCTTATTCTAACTACATGGTGCAAGTCATAAGGAGGAAACAAAATGTGTCTGCAAGTACAGAACATTTAAATGCCTCTACTCACGGTGAAAGCTGGCAGGTTACAAAAGAATTTGTAATTATATCTCTTATTTTCTCTTAAGGAGTTGTGCACCAGCACAATCAGATCCTATATTACTGCAGTATTCTACCTCAAGGTGGTAGGAGACAGAGAAAATTCAAGCTTCAGATCCCAGTATTAGGCTCTTCAGAGAGCATTGCTTGCTGCCAAACATGTGCACCAAGTCAGCATTGCTGACATATCTTTGCCTGCTTATGATGCTACTTCTGGAGGCCATATGACCTACAGTTCACCATTCCAGCTCTATTTTTGGTAAACTGCTAGAAGAAATGATGGAGTGGTATGGTTAGCTGGTATGGGTACATAGTTCAATGGATTACCAGTTACTACCGTTTTCTTAATATTTATCTTCATTTTAATTGATGCAGCATAAGGCATGCAAAACCCTCTTAATTCCCCCCCAAATTAGTACCAGGACTAGGAATCTGAATGACACTACGTTAGACTTTATCCTTCACTTGATGGAAAGTAGCATTTACACTCCCCTGAAGTCTCTTTGACTGCATACCATAAGCAGGTTTACAAGGAACCTCAATGAACCAATCTGGCTAAAATTTCCAATAACAACAACTTAAATAAAAGTGACTGGTTTGTCAGAGATATTCAGCACACCTGCTCCCAGCTAAGTTAGCACATCAGGAAATCGAGACTCAGTTATTTTAGTACCTATATACAGGTTAGAGCTGGACTTCACATGCCTAAATTTCAAAGTTGTGAAATATGTCAGCAAAAGGATTATAAAATAATTATAAAAGCAAAAGCCTAATCAAAATGCAATATTGTCCTTAAAGCAGCATTCAAAAGAGGTACTGTAGTTCTCTTCTCTGAGTGACAGGCTATCATAGTTTAACCCCAGTCATCAACCAAATACTACACAGCTGCTCACTCACTCCCCCACCAGCAGGATCAGGGAAGGAACTGGAAAGGTAAAAGTGAGAAAACTCGTGGGTTGAGTTTAAGAGTTTAACTGAGTCACAGTTTAAGAGGAAAGGCAAAAGCTATGCATGCAAGCAAAACAAAACAATGAAATTAATTCACTGCTTCTATGGGCAGGCAGATGTTCCGTCGTCTCCAGGAGAGCAGGACTTCATCATACAGAACAGTGACATGAGAAGACAAGAATCATGACTCCAAACAAACATCCCCCTCTTCCTCCTTCTTCCTCCCTCTTTATATACTGATCATGATGTCATATAGTCTGGAATATCCCTTTGGTCTGTTGGGGTCAGCTGTTCTGGCTCACAATCTCCCATGCAACCATAGTCTGCTCATCAGCCTGGCAGTAGGAAAAGCAGAAAAGGCCTTGGCTCTGTGTAAGCCCTGCTCAGCAATGACAAAAACATTTCTCCATTACCAACCCCATATTCAACAGAAATCCAAAGCAAGCCCATACCATCCCTGTGAAGCCCAGATAAACCAGCATAAAGGCACATGAAATGCTCCAGAATAAGAACTCAAAAAGATCCTGCAGTGAACTGTATTTTGATCTCAGGCATGTGTTCCACCTCAACCTGCCACTCTGTTTAAGGATGATGACTGCTTTTGAGATGGGATGAGAGTACATCTGACACAGCCCTGTGCAAGCAAGTAAATATAATTCTCCAAACACATTTATCCTATCTAATTTTAGACTTCTAAAATGTGGTTATGTGTACCTCAGATACTAATTGAGATTCTTATTAAGTAGTGGAGAGGAACACTTTTAAGTCGTGTTACAGCTGATCTATGTTAGATGTCAACCTCTGGATAACATTTATCAGACCTTAGAAATTTTGCTTTAGCACAGAGAGATTGGAGACATATCTTTACTACCTGTATGTCTAAGTTGTACAGAACCCAGGTTATCAGAAAGAAGCCCAGCTCTCACTGCAAAATGCTGATAAGGAATGGAAATATTCCTTATGAACACCACTGCCCTGTGCCACTGTACACAGTGACAAATAAAGGCAAAGGAAGACTTTGATATTTAGCCAGGAACATATATTGACAGTACTGCTAACATCACACTTGCTGAGTCAATACTAGTGAAGCAAAATGAGAAAGCAGCTGTAGGCAGCAGAGCCAACAAGAGCTGGATGTGGCTCTTCAGTTTCTGCATTGGGGTTAGTACCTCCACACACAGCATGGAAGGAGGTACCAGTATGGTGTCCTAACTCCACTGCACTGGGCTGCTAGGCCCAAGCACTCCTGTTATTAATTGGCTCAAGTTACATCAATGCACCACTCTGCTGCACTTATTAAACAAGCGCCTCACCTAAAACATAGTCTGTGTCTTTTACAGCAATGCTAAGTGTGACTCCATCACTAAACTTTCAGGTATCAGTTGGATATTGCATGCTCGGTACTTTAATATTTAATAATTATTCCGTGGATTTTTAAAAAGGACCATCCTTAAACCAGATGGATACATTTCATAAAAATGGTAAGACCCTAGAACAGATTTTTGTTTTTCATACATTGAAAGCAATGTAAAAAAGGTTCAGCTTCTATACTCACCATGTCAAGCAAGCACAAGGAAATAGCGGCAAAAAGGATTTCAAGTTTCAATTCTCGGTGGAAGATCTGAACAAAGAGGTTCAATTTAGGTATTTCTCCACTTTTGCCCAAGTTTGAGCCCCTGTACCTCTACAAACACACACCCCTACCAGCAGACACACTGCTGAGTAGACCTGATTCATCCAGACACAAGTTCAAAACATCTGTCTCAATTACCAGTTCTGGTACAATCTGATGAGGATGCCCAAAGTGTTTTCCTCTTAACAGAAGGCAGATGTAATTGATTCCTCTCTCACACCAATGTTATCCATGACACAGTCTAATGAAGTCAGAGCTAGAATTGCTCTGAATCTACACTAGCATGCATGAGAGAACACTATGACTGTGTGCATCTCTCAGAGGGTTTATTTCATTTCTTTTTTTCTTATTTCTCATGTTCCTCTGGGAGATCTCATTGCCAGTTTCAACAAAGGGCATCATCTCTTTGCAGATGATATCCAACTCTACAACTCTGTCAAGTCAGTCTCTGATCCCCTTCTTCCCACCTGTCTTCAACATGTCAATCAACAGATGGCTACACCATCACTAAGGAATGCTTCAAAGGCATTCAAAATGTTTTAAAAGTCCTCTTTGTTCCATGTCTCTTGCTCTGCTATCAGTCTTCGTAATTCAGCCCTTCAGTTCTCCGCCAAAAATCTTGCTGCTAACCATAACACAGGGTTTTAAATTTCTTTTCTCTACTTAAAAGCTACTTCCATATTATATACAGATTTATCTGTACTTTGACATCTGCTTCCACTGTGTTATGTTGAATGTTTTACTCCAGTTTAAAAAATGCCATTTTGTCCACTGTGGCTTTCCAAAAACATATTTTCTAACTTCACCAACCAATGGGCAGGAAACATAATACTACCCTACTTCAAAAAGTAGAGACTCCCTCAAGAACTTTCAATGTCTTCTTAAGTGCAGAATCTCATTTTGAGACTTGTGAAAATATATTGAAAATATATTTCAGTGTCTACAGCTGGAAGCTAAAGCCTTCTGATAGAGTAATACTGGGTTTTTCCAGATGACTGTTATTATCAAAATATCATTCTGGTATTACCTAAACATAATTGTGTTGGACTGTACCAGATTTCTCTCACAGCATCTTGGCTTTTGTTTCTCCTCAGCCCTTTCTTATCTCTGTATCTTCTCTACAAGCTTCCAAAAATGAGAAAGCAAGCTCATTCCTTCACTTACCCCATTTTATTCTTACTTGCATTTTCAAGCCTTCCCTTCAAACCACTGTATCATCTTCGGTTCAGTACAGCCCCATTTCCACAACATTAATGTTCCAACAATTTGTAATAATAACCTGCCATAAATCTGTAGTGCCTCTGCTGGTAAAGGAATTGGCAGAATGTAAAATGGATTAACAAATGTGAAGTGTAGCCATATGAGGAAAACTCAGTGCAGTGGAAATAGGGAATCTGATGTAAAAATACCAAAGGAAAAAACTATATGGGCCAATGGACAACCACCTAAACCCCACTGATAAGTGCACCCAGGGAGTCTCAAAGGGGTGCCCCTGGAAGCTGACAACCACAAAATCCCAGTGTATGTTTTCCAGTACAAAAAAGTGGCTGCAAACAGATTGGCACACATAGTTCTCTTAGTAAGAGGATTATCCTTCTATTTTTTACTGCCTCCACCTCCTCTTTCATCCTATCATTTACAATCCTGTAACACTAGTGGTAACCATAGCCATTCTGTAGAAAGAGCATTTAGTGTTCTCCTTTTAACAGCATTTAGCAGATGGAACAAGCTCACTTTCACAGAACTACAGAATGGGTAAATTGTGTGGAATGGATTACAGTGGGTCATCTGATCCAACCTCTCTGCTGAGGCAGGGTCATCCTAGAGCACATGGCACAGAAGTGCATCCAGATGGTTCTTGTACATCTTCCACGACGAAGACTCTACAACCTCTCTGGGCAATCTGGGCAATCCATTCCAGCATGTGTGGTTATCTGCACAGCAAAGATATTCTCCCTCATATTCAGGTGGAGCTTCCTGTGCATCAGTTCTTGGCCCTTGCCTCATGTACTAGTGGTTGGCACCACCAAGAAGTGTTTGGACCCATCTCCTCAGCACCCCCCCTTTGGATATTTATAGACATTAAAAAGGTCCTCTCCTAATCATGTCTTCTTGAGGCTGAACAGGCCCAGCTCCCTCTGCCTTTCCTCTTAACAGAGATGCTCCTGTCCCTTATTCTCTTTGTCACCCTCTGTTGGACCCTCTCCATGAGCTTCACGTCTCTTGGGCTGGGAGCACAGAACTAGACACTCCAGATGGGACCTCACCAGGGCTGAGGAGAGGGGCAGGATCACCTCCCTCGACCTGTTGGTAGTGCTCTTTTTTATGCAACCCTGGATACCACTGGCCTTGTCCCCAAGGACACACTGCTAGCTCAGGGACAGCTTGTTGTCCACCAGGACCCCCAGGTCCTTCTCCGCGGAGCTGCTCCCCGGCAGGTCATGCCCAGCCTGTGCTGGTGCCAGGGTTATTCCTCCGCAGGTGCAGGGCTCTGCATTTGCCTTTGAATTCCAGAGTTCTCTGACCCTTTTTTCTGTCGAGGTCTTTCTGAAGGGCTTTGTGTCATCAGCAACCTTGTTGAGGAGACACTCTGCCCCTTCATCACTTTGCCGGCTCCTCTCAGAGAGACAGTGAGGAGCAGCCCGTGAGACGCAGAGACCTTGTCAGAGCTGTAAACTGCGCACCGGCGGCGGCACCGGCACCGCGGGGGCAGGGGCAGGGGCAGGGGCAGGGGCAGGGGCAGGGCAGGGCAGGGCAGGGCAGGGCAGGGCAGGGCAGGGAAGGGAAGGGAAGGGAAGGGAAGGGAAGGGAAGGGAAGGGAAGGGAAGGGAAGGGAAGGGAAGGGAAGGGAAGGGAAGGGAAGGGAAGGGAAGGGAAGGGAAGGAAGGGAAGGGAAGGGAAGGGAGGAAGGGAAGGGAAGGGAAGGAAGGGAAGGGAAGGGAAGGGAAGGGAAGGGAAGGGAAGGGAAGGGAAGGGAAGGGAAGGGAAGGAAGGGAAGGGAAGGGAAGGGAAGGGAAGGGAAGGGAAGGAAGGGAAGGGAAGGGAAGGGAAGGGAAGGGAAGGGAAGGGAAGGGAAGGGAAGGGAAGGGAAGGGAAGGGAAGGGAAGGGAAGGGAAGGGAAGGGAAGGGCCGCGCCGGCCCGGCGGCCCCGAGCGGCCTGTCGCCATGGCGACCGGCGGCCGCGTCCCGCGGGGCGGAAGGGCCGCGCTCTCGCGAGATGGCGGCGGCCGGGCCGGGCCGGAAAGGGGCGCGCGTTTGAAGGCGGCGGCGGCGGGAAGGGGCGGCGGCGGAGGCGGAACGGGGAAGGTGAGTGTGGCTGTCTCCTGGTGTGGCGCCACGTTGCTCCTGAGCTGCTGCCGCAAGGCGAAGTGCGGGGCTCGCCCCAGGGGAGCGAGCCTGTGGCCGCAGCGCCGGCTGCCCGTGCCCGGGCGGCGCCGGGCTGGCCCTTCCCCAGGACCGTTTCTTTCCAGGCGAATGGCGCTTGGCTGAGCGCAGCCGCCAGCACCGTGAACGTGTTGAGCTTAAAAAACTAGGGAAACGAGGTGGGCTTCATTGTCAGAAACAGAATAACTAAACTGAGAAGTTACAGCGGTTTGGAAAGTTTAGGTGGTGCAGTGTTAAAAGGCTTCTAGTTCTGCCGTGGGACGAGGATGAGCTTTAGGCTTTAGTAGGATATTCGCTTGCTATGTGTGAAAAGCGCTAATCACTTAGTTTTTAAAATTTTAAAAGTTTAATAATAATAAAATGGTTATAAAAATAGTAATACAATTAGAGTAATAAAAATTTAGAGTTAGGACAATTACAAGACAATAAAAAGCAAATAATTACGACGTCTGGATGCTGTCAGACACTAAGTCACGAAAAGTATACCTTGTGAACAAAGGAATCACACTTAAAACAATACACTTTTGCATATTTTTATATACTTCATGGTTATGCATACATTCTATTTAAAACAAGAAACTCTACTGTTATATGTCAACTGTTTCCTTTAATCCCCACAGCATCTTCGAGTCTGAGGAAGGCCTGAAGAAATTAGCTTCTTCTGATAAGAGATTCATAAATTCCTCTTCTCTGGAAGATTTAGGTGTTCTGGGACTGTTATCTCGAAGCGAGTATCTCACTCCTGTAAAAAACCCCACATACATAGTTTCTATTTTAACATTATGTTATAACCTAAAACTACATTTAACACACTATTTGAGAGAATTAATACAGCATAACTTTCTAACATTACACATATAATATTCATTTTAATATTTGTGAAAAGCCAATCATAAAATACGCATTTTTCACACTAAGTGTTACTCATTTCCAAATTGAAGTGCTTGTTTTAAAGCTTGTTTGGCCATTATTTGTATATAGAATCATTTAGTCTAAGATCATCAATCATATATCTTTTATTATATGGTTTATGCATATTGATCAAATTCTGTGAAGGGCTTTTAAAAAAACCACAAACATGAGGAAGCATAGATTTTCATTTGAACTGTACCAAATCATTGAGTAATTGGATGCTAAAGATCTTTATGGTAACTTTGGTTCTATTCTCAGTGTTTCACTCTAGTCCTCTGTCTCTTTAACACACACACACAAAAAAAAAAAAAAAAAAAAAAACCTACCAAAAAAACTACTATAAACCTGTTTGTTTCAGGTGAGCAACTGAACCTGAAATCACACTGTCATAATTCTTGAGCTACATTGGATTTTACATTACATTTGAAAAACTGCAAAAGTGAGTGTCAAATAGGAGGTTTTTAAAATACCAAATTACAGAGCTTTGGGAACCACTCACATGAGGGGATGCAAGATTTTAAGTCCCTGTCACAACCTCAGAATGGAAACTGAGTCTTCAGTCTTAGGTCTAAATCTCTTGACTGAAAGACTTGCTTATTAAATCTTATTTGTTCTATCACCAGGATTTAGCATTAACTGCTTAAATATTTACTTCTTAGTATGTTCAATTATAAGTATTTTCAAGTCTTATTTTTCATAATACATATGTTTTTAACACATATTCTTAGAGGATATTTGTAATATTTGTTAGCTATCTCTTTCAGAAAGCCCAAGTACAGTTTCTTGGTCTCTAGTCTCCACCATTTACACAGTATGCTTTTAAAAGAAGTTATCCATTATTTAAAAGAAATTGTTGGAATTTACTCTGATTTTTGGCTTACACTTATATGATGTTGTTGAAGTCACATGTTAAAATATAATTCTCAACTTTTGTTGATACCTTGAAGGAATAAATATTAACACTTTGTTAAATAATGCCTGTGAAAAACTGAAAGGTGAATGGAATATTTATATGATTGTCAAATATTTACTTTGAATTTGAACCAACAAAACAGGAGAACTGGCAGAAAATGTCACCTGGAAAAGTTCTGCAACCTGCAGTGAAAATGAAGGTGGATGAACTCTTTTTGTGCTGGTTAAGTCAGCCTGCAACTCAGCTAATACTGAAGGACTGCTTGAGAAGAATCAAGAATAAGGAGAAAACAGAGTTTGGTAATGCAGATTCAGGAAACAGTAAAAATGAGAGCTTCACCAGTAAAAATTCCAATTCCAAGCAGTGCATATTAGGAAATACCAGATTGCCTTTGATGTCTTTGAGTCCTCCTCAGCTTTCTACTACTCTTCCATTGGCGACTCCAGCTAGCTCAAGGAACATTTCCAATGTTAGAGCAACACATCGATCCTCAGGGACCAAAGAAGTAAGTTTGTTTCTTATTAGATTTATTTGTTTAATTGGAACTGACTTTTGTGTTTGTGGTATTGGCAAATTGTGTAAGTAAATAGTTTCCCCAGAGGAGGTATCAGGAGTGGACTGAAGCAGCTGCACTGAACCTAAAATACCAATGTTTGTGTGTCATTAGTGTTAGTGGATAGGTGGCCTGAGCTTCCATAAGATTATCTTGGGTCTTTGCCATCTAATTGTGGATGAATTTAAGTCCTGTGTTTGTGTTCCTTTTATAACATATTGCGTTGTCTGCAAATATTCCTTTGTCTAATGATACCAGGCACTGTTGTTAGTACAAGACTCAAATTTGTCTTCACTGGATCTGCATATTAACAATTGTTTTGGTACTGCATGGTACACTCAGCACTTCCTTCCTAATGAGCTCTTTATTTAGAACAGACAATGCCCTCTCTGCAAGGATGACAACCCTGCCCCCAACCTGAAATATCTTTTTAGTCTTGCAATTCAGTTCAATCTAGTTTCTAGCTCTTTTCATAAACTGTAAAAACAAAACTGGATAGAAGATGTTGTCATGACTGACAAAGTTAAGTGTTGCTTATGTATGATCAACGACCATAGAATTATAGAATGGTTTGGACTGCAAAGGACCTTCAATACCATCTAGTTCCAACCACCCTGCCACGGACAGGGACACCTTCCATTAGACCAGGTTGCACAAAGCCCCATCCAACCTGGCTTTGAATACTCCCAGGGATGGGAGAAGCACAGCTTCTCTGGGCAACCTGTTTCAGTGTCTCACCATCCTCACAGTAAAGAAATTGAATAATTTGATCTAAACTTACCCTTTCAGTTTAGAGCCCTTTCCCCCTGTCCTGTCACTACATGCCCTTGTACAAAGTCCCTCTCCAGAACTCTTGTTGGTCCGCTTTAATTACTGGAAGGCTGCTCTAAGTTCTCCCCAGAGCCTTTTATTCTCCAGGTGGAACAACCCCAAATCTCTCAGCCTGTCTTTTTTGGCAAGGTACTGCAGCCCTGTGATCATCTCTGTGACCTTCCTCTGGACTTGCTCCTGCAGATCCACGTCCTTATGCTGAGGACCCCAGAGCTGGGCACAGCACTCCAGCTGGGGTCTCATCAGAGCAGAGTAGAGGGGCAGAATCACCAACCTTGCCCTGCTGGTCAGCTCATTGACTTTACAATAATAGCGACTTGTGTTTATATATAATCACCAACCAGACAGCAGGGCATGGCGATTGGTTCACTTTTTTGTTGTTGTTCACACTATTATATTTCCTGTTCTAATGAAATGCAGAGAGTCAGTCAGCAGATGCTCAGTTTATTCTTGTATCAGATAAAAGCAAGCAAAGGAAGAGTTTCTGTGAAAACCCACTGTTATTTACTATACTTGATTGCTAACTTGTGTACTGTAATTTCTCTTCATGTGTCTTGGTTGACTGCTTGAAGTAAATCCCATAAAGAAGAACTAGAAGAGATTAATGAAGGATAACATCCTTGACTTAATTGGAATTGTTTGTATAGTGCTGAGAGAGAACCTAGAGGGGTTAGGTTGTTGGTTGCTTGAGTAGATTGGGGAGGGAGAATTTCCTAGTAATGAGAAATTTATTTAGGTGAACTGAATCTTCATCCAAATGTTTCTTAATATCTAAGCGTAAATTGCATTTACAGCTGGCGTCAGTTCTTAAATATCATCAAGAATTGCATGTTCTGCAATGGCAGTGTATTTTCTATTAGAAAGCACAATGTACCCCACTTTCTTCCACAAACTACCTCATGCAGTGTCAAAACTAATGCCTCTGCTGTTGTGCATCTTGCTATGTTTCTCAGATCAAACCACGGTGGTTTTACCTACCTCATAAGGGTTTTAAATAAGTTTGAGGCCCTTAACTTGTTTCTGTAAGTGGAAGAAAATGTTTCAGATACTGGAATGTTTCTACAGTACAAGCTCATACAGATTTAAATTCTAAACAGCAGTCCTAGAAAATGGTCAAAGTTAATGTGCATAGCTCTGTGTGCATGAGGGTGTTAATAGGAAAAGACTTTTACATCCAGACATAAAGAGATGTAATTCAACTTAAACATCTTACTAAACTTTTCCGCATTGTGCACTGGAAGTCTAATAAGGCAGCATACAAACAGTTAACTTACTTTGGCATGATACATTTTCAGTATCACTGAGCTAAATCACTGCATTTGATTATGGGTAAGGTTGCTATATGCCATTTTCCTGTTTCTTAAAATGTTCCTGCAACTTTTTTGAAGGATACTAAACAATAAAGCTGATAACAGAAAACCACCATCTTTAAGTAATTACCAGGAAGTAAATATGAATGTGTAGAAAAACAACATTTTCATGCCACAGGTTTCTGTACTTGTTAGCAAAACATGTTTGTCTGAACAGGAAGCATTCTTAATTAGAATCTAATTAGGTATGTAATCTTTTATACTTTAAACAATAGTATATGAGGAAAATAAGTTGGCATGCTGATGGCAAGCATTAAACAGCATCAAATGTACTGTAGCTGTCAGCTATTGTATTGAAAGAGATCGTTGCTTTTTTCAAGAGATTAGCTTGTAACTGAAGCCTATGGGTTATACTTCTATCCAAAATTCAGAAGTTGCCATGTATTTTGCTGAAACACTGATGTCTTGTCAGAGGAGAATTCGCTGTCTTTCAAGACAGTTGAAGCCCTCCCCCGATTAGCAAATCAAAAGTACTTATTCCAGTAATGAAAGAACCTGCATGGTCTGTATGGAAGTTTTTCATCTGGAGGGGTCACTTAAAGCTATGACAATAGTAAACGACTTAATCCAAATGCACATTTTAAAATCTGTTCAGAACTCTACCATGAAAATTCATCTTTCAGTGTGTTTTAATGCAAATGAAAACAAAACAGTGTTTGTTTAGGGATTTCTTTTTCCTTTATGGGAGGTATTTTGCTTCGTTTGCATGGTGCCATTCACAGTGAGGCAGATATCTGACTGTACCTTTTGGGTAAACATGTTAATTGCAGAGTTGTGGTCACTTTGGTTATGTGATGTGAAGTGCTTGGTAGCACTGGGTATTCTGCAAGTAGGCCTGTGATTTCTATGTACTATATGCTTCAAATAACAAAAACTTAGAGACATAAAAAAAAATTCAGCATTCAAGTCTCAAATGTTTTCTGAGTGTATTGTTGAAGAAATTCTAGGTCTGTAACTTTCAAACTAGAAGGATAGCTGCTGTGGATTTCTTCTAACTCTTATCACAACTGTAGATTTAACAGTGTTTCTGGTACTCTAGATTATCCTAAACACATGGGGCATACACAATTGTACACTGTTCGTCACACTGTCAAAAATGCCACTCCTCAAGGCCTAAAAGGTGCCATGGGCAAGATGTTTAATCCTGACCAGCTGGTGTGCAAGGCATCTGGGGAAACAATTCACAGAATTCCCTATGGGCATTTTGTGGGATGGTGCTGCAGAGAGAATGTGATACAATCAGTAATACTTCAAAGTTATTTTCCATTTCTCTGCAGGGTCAACCTTTGATATAAAGGTACTTCTTGAAGTAGTTTCACTATATCCTTTATTTGATACTGTTCCTGCTTGTTATCCTCTGGCAATTAAAGCTCATTTTCCTCCAATTTCTGTAACTTGTAAAAGTTTTTACTTCTTTAATATATGGCGCTTAGCTTTATCATGAATAACATTCTTGCCAAATTTTTGTAATCAGTTACTTGATTTAAATATAGTAGTACTGCCATGATCCATTTTAGTTTAAAGGGAGTTTCATTTTTAGAATGAAACCTTTTAACATTGACTGAAGCCTGAATAACATTTAACAATTGTTTTTTGAAACAAATTAATTCCAAGAGCTTGAGGTAGAGGGTATCATCTTGCAAGGTGTCTGCATCTGAATTGCTGCCTCATACACGTTTGTACCGGAGCACTGTTAACTCCAGAGCCTGGGCTGTGTGAGCTGTGTTAGCATTGCTCTGCACACCAGGTTGTGCTGTGTGGTCCAACACAAGCACTCCCTAACACTGTATCTTGCAAAGACAGTGTAAGTAGTGCCATGTCCTATCACTACGTGGGGAGGATGGTGGACTTGGCTTTCAACTCAAGCCCGTGACTTAAAGGGAGACTGTAAATAACCTGGTATCAAACTGATGTACTTTTACAATGATAACTGGGTCCTATGAGAAATGTCAGCATTAGTGTGATCTCAATAAAGCTCCTTCTATGGTGCCAACAAAGGAAGGGCAGCCAAAAGTTCATATTAAAGTCTGGAAGAGTGCGGCTATAGGTGTCCCTGTAAAATCATTATTAGTTTTGAGTGGGGTGACATAATAGTATTCAACATAAGCAGCAGTGGTAGTGTGTTGTGTTATTCATCTTAAGCTTTGCTGTACTGAATAGCTTGGAATAGAACCGTTATCCTAATTAAAGAACTGTTCTTTTTATTTATAATTGGGAAACTGAAAGTTACTCACTGTTGCAGGGTTTTGATAGTGCTCCTTATTCTAACTGTATCTTATTACCCTGACATGTAAATGTTATTCTTGTTAGTGGTTATATTGATTTTGTTTACACTTTGTGCTTTATTTTTAAAAAATAGTAAACTTTTGTCCTTTTCCAAAGTGGCATTTTCACTTTTGTCCTACTGGAAACTCATATTTTTATATGCTGCATCCAGTCTTTAAAGTTTTTGGCATTTCTAGTACTGAGAAATGGAAATCAGAATTGTGTGGCTTTCTTCAAGTTTGAAGCTCACCTGAATACTGATCCAGAATGATTAAAATTAATTCAGTTTTGAATTATGACATTTATTAATGATAGTTACATCTTTGTAACTGACACTTAAAAGCAAACAAAAAAATGTTCAAAGCTATCATCACAGCTTACAGATCATTACTTCCAGTTGCTTCTCTGTTCAGTCTTTCAAAACAAGTACACTTAATTACAGTTTTACATCAGTCATTTACATTAGTGTATTTTTTTCACAGATAT